TAATATATTAATTAATCACCAGAGTATACACATATAGCTTATAAAATAAAATTTAAAAAAAAGCTAGATTTAATCTAATTCTCAGTCTATTTAGATCTAGTTCTAGAAAAGTAAAATCAAAACGTCCAGCTGTTTTAACTATTTTCCAACTTTTCTCGCTTAGTAACAGAAAATTCACGAGAAAACATAAACATGTAGGTTTTCCCGTTCTTTCACTTTTAAAAATATGATTGCACAATTTTTGGACAGGGCAATGGCGATTGCTGGGTCTGGAACTAGGGGCCTCAGTGTCAGAGGAAATTCGAGCCGTTCAGGATATTTTCGGCAAGACAGCCTATGACGCTTGCAATGCGGATAAAATGTGTCGTCCCGATCGAAATGACACGAAAAAAAATTCAATTGCGTATTTAACAATTCAATTGCTGAAAATAAGTGACTGCAATATTTCAACGTAAATTTCACAACACAAAAATGCTACTTTAACCACCCCCGTGGTTGAATTAGCTTACAATAGTGGTTAAAGTAGCATTTTTGTGTTGTGAAATCTACGTTGAAATATTGCAGTCACTTTTTTAAGCAATTTAATTGTTAAATCAGCAATTTAATTTTTTCCGTGGACGTAACTCTATTCAAAGGTTGCGAAATTGGAAAAAATCCTACTTTTAACGAGAATATAGTAAATGGACAATTTCTGTACGATATTTTTCTGTTTTTTGTGCGTCATCCTTGTAAAATTACAATTTGATAGTGAAAACAGCGATTCTACGCAGTTACAATCTTTCGTGCGGGGAAGGAAGAATTTAACAGAGGCGAGTTGATGACGGCGCAGAGATACAACTATTCGTACTTGATGGATGTCCGTGTTGCGTCTGCACAATTGAAGGCGCGAGGCGTTGACTTGCAATGTTCCGCTCTATACTGCCAATGAGTCAGCAAAGAGAGTTAACACATGCCATTTGCGGAGAAAAGAAATATTTTAAGGCTAAATCACGGGAAAATGAAGACAAACTCAGAGCGTATCTTCATAAAGGAAACATGGCAGAGCTACTAGTTAGGTCCATGGCATAAAATAAAAAAAGTCTCGCAATCTTAGCAACATTGCAGGCCTCATAGGCAATTTTACCGAAGGTGACCTTGGTTTCTTAAATTAGGCACTTTATATATCTTATATCGATAAGAATTATCTGTAACCCATTATGACGTGGTAATTTCTGATCTTGATAATTACTTTATATGGATGACTAAAAGGGGGGAAATACGTATCTTAACTTTAAAGACATCATATATTATGGTCAATTTTTTTCAAGGCAAACTAATTCAAAATCTTTACTTGGAATTTTATGTGATCAATTAAGGACATGTGGGAAAATTCAAATATGATAAATTGTAGTGTAGGAAGTTTTGATTGGTTCTCCAAAAAAAAAAAAAAAAAAAAACCCAGACCGAGGGCTTTTGACTTCGTAATCTGAGATACAGATTTTTCGACTTTAGTCATCGTTGGGTGATCCAACAATCCCGTGCCACCCTTTAACCCCTTGGATTTCCGCCTCTTTTTGAGGTAATCTATGGGAAGTTTGGGGAGATATTTCCAAAAATTCGTTTATTTTGACCTAAAAACACCTACAAACTTTCAAATTCTCCATCTCAATTTTTTCAAACATTACAGGGGTGCAATGTCAGATGCTGGTGGTGAGAAACTTTTGAATCACCCTGTATATGTACGTAATGTTCCCTGGACATGTAATTGTACACATGTGGTTGTGGAAAGGATGACTGGAACGTTCCTGCACGGGGAGTAGGAATTGAGGAAATTCACCTTACTTGAATAGCAACGGTAAAAAGGAGTTTATTAAGAAATCCTGGGATTGACTTATTGAATATTATATGTCCCACGATTCAAACTTGTAAACGAACAAGACTCCGGAAACAGGTCCCTGCAGATGCAAATTCAACCTCACTCTGTGAGAGAATCCACCTGTTGAATCATTCTTAAGTTGAGGTTTCCACACGCAGAGGACAGAAAATCATGGAATAATCGCTAAGACCACGCAATAGCCGTTTGTTTGTTTTTTCTTCTGTCTTCTCTCTCACTTTCTATTTTATTGCTTCGTAAAATAGAATTTACAAAGAAATACAAAATTAGTGAACTAATTTAATTGATTCTAAGATTTAGATGAGGTAAAACTGATGCGTTCAAAAAAAAATATAGGGCACGTTGACTATACCATTATTTGTAATATTTCCCTTCAGAGGTACAGAATCTACACTCGTAGTATAGGAGACAACGACGGACCGACCGATGGCACCTCTTCTTGTAGCCCATTATTGCACATTCGCTTGCAGCTATGGGTCACATCTACTCATTCAGTGTGCTAGACATGTGTAACCATCCACGAAGAAAGGGACCTCAGGGCAGAAGAGTATTCGAGTACTTTCAAAGGAGTAGTTTTTGATGTCAGTCTACTTCTTTGGCTCGTGCCAAAAAGAATTGAGTAAATTTGTAATTTAATTTGCAAATTTAAGCCCAAATTATAGAAGATTTAATGGATGATTTGCAATTGTCGAAAATTATGAAAATGTACTTTTGAAAAAGTATTAAAGGAGATACGGCCAAATGACCTCATCTGCTAAAATATTATGGTTCGATGACTTCACAAGATGGCTTTTCGAACTTTTAAAACAATTTTTCTACAAATTTCCCACATCAGAAAAAATTGTGGAAAATACTGTGAACGCAGGTCATTAAGTACTTTTAGACGCACCAACAAAACATTTTCGTGCAAATTCACCGATTGGTAGATTTAATTTTAGTTAGAAACAGAAGGGAGAATTTTGAATTTTTTAAGACTGAGGTGAGTGAAGTCCCTTTCCTCGTGAACGCAGTGCTAAAGTAGTCGCTCTCCTGACATGAGGACGTAATTACACCAAGAGGCGGAACCAGCAATTTGACAACATCGGATTTCCTCCATTTAAACCTGTACTAAATAATCGATTCTTGGCGGAGCACCTGGCCCCTCTATGAATCGATACATTTTCATAAGTTTGAATGGAGGAAATCCGGTGTTGCTAAATGAAGATGTTGCATGTGTGCAGAATTAGCGATTTGACTATTGATTCTTAAGTAAAATTTCGTAAGAAACACGATGGCCCCACTGGTTTTCTCTGTAATCAACTCCCAAGCTCAAAAAAAGCTCTCAAATTGAGGCGAAAATGGAGGGGACATCCCACCCTTCCCTGAGAGTCCACGTCTACATCAAGACAAACTCTCCATGCAAAGATAGGGAGCAAATACATTGACAGGGCTGCCGTGTTTTCAGTTTTGGAGTCCCGAAATAAAGTGACAGCCCTGTTAATATATTTGCTCCCTATCTTTGCTTGGAGAGTTCGTCTTGATGCAGAGGTGGACTCTCAGGATAGCGTGGGATATCCCCTCCGTTTTGGCCTCAACTTGAGAGCTTTTTTTGAGCTTGGGAGTTGATTTCAGAGAAAACCAGTGGCACCATCGTGTTTCTCGCGAACTTTTTCATAAGAATCAACAGTCGAATCGCAAATTCCTCACACATGCAACATCTCCATTTGGCAACATCGGATTTCCTCCATTTAAACGTATGCTAAATTATCGATTCTTGTCGGAGCACCTGGCCCCTCTAAAAATCGATACATTTTCATATGTTTGAATGGAGGAAATCCGGTTTTGCTAAATGGGCCTGTTGCAAACTTTTGCTAGAGCAAAACTAAGAGTTGTTTTCTACAGATAATGCCTCAAAAATCACGATGAGCGCATCGGCAAAGTCTGAAATGCACTCATAACTTCACAATCTGCGTAAGAAATTTGCGATTTTTTGAGCTTCCCGCTTCGAAAACGATACTACTGTACAGGTGAACATTTTGTTAGAGGAGTCGTTCCATTGGCGGCAATACTCATCATGGCCGACGCCAGTCCGCCAAAACACGTGTGATGGAACGAGATAACACCTAAACAGGATTAAACCAGATAACAATCGGCGTGTTTACGTTCATATTTTCCTCGCCCGCCTTAATTGACCTTGAGTTCTCCTCGAATTACGCGAGGAACTGCGCAAGCGTCGGCCATGATGAATATTGCCGACGATGGAGCGACTCCTCTAACAAAATGTTCACCTGTGCAGTAGTATCGTTTTTGAAGCGGGAAGCTCAAAATAACGCAAATTTCTTACGCAGATTGTGAATTTATGAGTGCATTTCAGACTTTGCCGATGCGCTCATCGTGATTTTTGAGGCATTATCTATGGGAAACAACTCTTCATTCTGCTCTAGCAAAAGTTTGCAACAGGCCCATTGCTGGATCCGCCAATGATCGCCCCTCTCGATGAACCTTGTCACCAATTTAACACAGTGCTTTCCCGGGATCATCTGGACGTATTTCTACCAAACAGACCTATGTGGAGGTGAGAAATATTATATTATATATATATTAATAATATATGGGGTGTGCTCGTCGAAGCTGCATAAGAAGCAATGTAAAAGTGGGCGTGATTCCCTTTGAAGAATTGGAAAAGCGGGATATTACATTCTATCAAACAGACCTATGTGCCAACTGAATGCGGAACTCATGAGCCGCGGGCATGGCAAGAGAGCGTTGTGCACAGGGCTCATGAATTAAAGAGTCCCGCCAACGACCCTCCCGTCGTTCCGGAGCTCGTTCGTTGCCGCTGACGTCACTGGCGCAGAATTATTCTCATTCACTCGTATGCAAAGAGAACTAACGAGCACACCCCATATTTGGACGTATTTCCGTCAAACGGAACTATGTGCATTAAGACATGAGCCCCGAGACCCTTGAGAATATATGCATTACAGGGCTCACGTCACAATGCACATAGTTCCGTTTGATAGAAATACGTCCATTTCTCACCTCCACATAGGTCTGTTTGGTAGAAATACGTCCATCTCTGAGTGTAGTTACGCTCTTTCGTCAGCCAAGCGACGAAGTGAAGAACGTGGGTGGAGCGTGAGCTTACCGTAAAGCCGGATGGTTCCCTCGGTCTCGCCGCGCGGGTTCTTGGAGATGCACTTGTAGATGCCGAAGTCCCTGTCGGCGATCTCGCGGATGTGGAGCTTCATGTGGGTCTTGTACTTGGGGGGCCCGACCTGGGTCTCGATCTTGTACTTGGCCCCGTTGTCGTGGATCATGTCGCCCCGCTCGCTGGCCCAGTAGTTCAGGGAGGCCGGGTGGGCCTCCGTCACGCACTCCAGCGTCACGCTCGAGCCCACCGGGGCCCCCACCAGCTGGTGCGGGATCACCAATTGCGGAGGAACTGAAACAGTCATTTGAAAGCCGTTAATACCTCGTGTAATATCTAGAGACATAGAGAGAGACATACCATTCACCCTTGGCGAAAGGCCTTCTGCGGGTTGATAGTTGAAATTGATAGACAAAGCTATAGACAAGAAGAAGACATAAGGGGTATGAACTGAAACAGAGGCATGTCAAAGTTGTTAATGCCTCGCATTTGTCCAGAGATAGATAGAGACCCA